TGCGGGAAGCACAGAGTTGCGCAAGGAAGAGGTGGCCAAAAACCACCGAAACAACACCAAGTATGGAGGCCGAAATCCAAAATAGCAATTCAGACAAATGCTAAGACGCTCGGAAAGCATGAGCTACCCCAGAGTGGCTCGGCCAAGGTCAAGCCACCCTAAGGTGGCTCGCTCGCCTCCCCCAGCCACTTCCGAGTCTCTGTCCGCTTCCGTTCCTGCTCCAGATGATCCCGTACTTCCGGTGAAGTCTTACAGCACCGTGGATCTGTCTCGATTCAAGATAATGATGACAGATCACCTTGGACTTTTGTACGAGGATCGAAGCAAAGCTCCGGTTAAAGAGCGTTTGGATCCAGTGAATGAACTCTAAGCAATTCATCAAACTGGGGGTTGTGCGCGTCCTCTCAACAAGTCAAGGACATCCTATATTGAGAAAGTACATGTAACCGCTCGCCTCGGATTACAAGTTGAAGTCCAAGAGCCCGTTAAGACCCCACGCACATGAAGGCGTGGTTCCAAACGAGTGATTCTTGAGAACGCCAACGAGGCGTTATATCCCCAAAAGGAAACGTGTTCGTCGGAAGACGACAACGTTGTACTTGAGAAGTCATATCAGCACACGATAGATTACTCTGGTAATCATGTCGATGAGTTGTACTATCAGGCTGGGGGTACAAACAAGTCTCGAAAGAGAAATACCCGGGAAACGGATTCTTACTGTTCATGTGCCAAGCTTATCAGGACAGTATTATCAGAGTGTAGCTACCCCAAGACCGCTCCGCAGAGAGTCTCGGTATTTGAAAGACTTTTCACTGAAATGTCGAAGCCCTAGGCAAGGCATTTCCACAATAGAAGACCGGTCATTCAAGATGATGAACTCCCAGAAGTCACCATCAACATGGCCGATAAAGGGAAATCAACTCAACATCCCAGTCCCGACTCTTTGCAGTTGATATCCTAACGTTTAACTCGGCTGCGCTCCAGAACTATCAGACGTAGGGATTATCAGAGGGTGTAGAGAGGGCTATCCTCAGATGATGAAATATTAGATGCTTGTTCTGCAGTCACCTTAGACAACACGGTGTCTAGCACAGGATGAGTCCGGGAGGTGTTCACCATCACTCCCAACCAGTTAGCCCAAATGCTCGAAAACGCTCTAGCTAAGCAGAAAGAAGAGCTCAGAGCTGAAATAAAAGATGGAAATGGAGTTGAACATGCAACGTATGAGGGAATCATGCCCAACAACTTTAGTCCTTGTCAAATCAGCAGGGTGAATCTAGTCGTTACAACAATACTAATGAAGTAGGCATCGACTCGGAAGTGGATGAAAATATCGACGCTGATACTCCTCCCAGTAACAATAACCCTGGGGGTGGTCTAATGGAGTCTCCTCAACCTTCTCAGCAACCCCCAAAGAAGAATGCGGGCGAAGACAAGAAGATGAAGGACCTGGAGAGCAAAATCAATATCTTGATGTCTGCTCAAGAGGTGAAGAAGACCGGCATACCGTGTCCATACCCAAAAGAGTAGGAGTCAATTCCGTATCTGGCAAAGTTTAATCTAATTAACTTTACGTCATTTGATGAGAGAGGTTCACTCACTCAACACCTAATTTACTTCAAGTCCCATCTAGGCATGATCTCCGGCAACGAACCTTTGATGGTCCGATCATTCGTCGGCACCCTTCGCTGAGCCGCCTTCGAGTGATATCGTCATCTCAAACCGGAGAGCACAACAGTTAGGATGACATGGAGAGCATGTTCCTCACAAACTTCTTCGACGATGACACTGAAGTGTTAATTGGGACACTATTCAATGAGAAACAAAAAGAAGGAGAGTCGGTTGATAACTTCGACGATGTCATAACAATCTTTCTTTGAATGTGCTGGAAGCCATGAGCGTGGCGCCATCCAAAACCTGGAAAGAGTTAAAGATGCGCGGAGAGCAAGCCGAACTCTTCCTCAAAAGTAAAAAGGCTAAAAGAGGTCAATCGGTGGATAGTGCTCTGAAGCAAAACTTTGTCCCTAGTGATAAAGGGAAGACTCCGGTGAATGCAGTAGATGTGAATCAGACATCCAACTGCAATCGCAACAGCAAGCGTCACAGAAGTCACCCTCCAAGTGATAACATCGACCTCAAAGACAACAAAAGATTTCTAAACCAAAATTCCTGAAGGAATACTTCTTTAAGGAAGATGAAGTTCCTACTATCTTCAAATACCTCCTGAATAATAACAAAATCAAGTTGCCTCCAATCATTGATGAGGAGGAAGCCAAGAGGGCAACGGATCCAAGATGTTGTGCATTTCACAGGCGGGTCCATCATCCCACTAAGATGTGCTACACCCTTAAGGACAAGATCCAAGACTTAATTAACGTCGGTATCATCACTACAAGTAGCCCAAGGAGAAGAATGTGGGTGCGAATACGGTTTCTATCAGTTTCTGTTCTGTCCTTCTATCATGGTTTCAGCCAGAGTCTATATTAAGGGCCTGTTTGGATTTGTAGGGGGTGAAGGGAAGTTAAGGGAAACTGAGTGAATGGAAGGGAAGGGAAGGGAAGGGAAGGGAAGAGAAGGGAAGGGAATTCCCTTCCCCTTGGTTACACCCCAATTTGGGGGGTAACAATTTTTATACTATTAGGGGGTGAACCAATGGGAACTAGGGTGAATTAACTTCACCTTCTAAGTGTTCCCAAACAAGGTGAATGGTTCCCCTAACTTCCCTTCACCCTCATTTCCCTCAATCCAAACAAGCCCTTAAGGTGGAGATGAAGACCGTTAACGACGATCCTCATGGACAATGCCAAAAAGGGCTTGTGCAGCACACATCCCCTAATGGAGAAATTCTTTGGGTCCATCTAGATTTGCTCAAAGATGAACAACGAGTAGGGTCTTCGTCCAAGAAGAAGTCCAAGGGTAAGGGTAAATCCTGTTATCCTGCCACATCAATCCCTAAGAAAGATGATGAAAGCATCCCTACCTTATCACTTTCTAAAGACGAACATGAAGTCTTTGCTACCAGGAGTGGGAACAAATACCGATATAAGTATCCCGAAGCCTCTGATCCAAATGCTAAAATATTGGCTGAGCTGGGGGTGATTACAACTCCACCTACACCCGTTGAGAAACCCCAATAACAACCAACTAACAAACAAAAGTAGAAAGAACCCCAACGCCAAGAGGTTCAGAATCCGAAACAGTCTCGATTCAATCGTCCGATTGGAAGAGATAAACTGGGAAGTTTAAACACACCATATCGCTTCGATGTTATGACTCAGCTAGCTAACATCCCAGTGAGGATAACTCTATTTATAGAGGCATCCCTTAACCAAATGACCAAACTACCTTCAAAATTTGTCTTTTTTTGACCGTTTTGGGGGGTATTTTGATCAAAAGCGCAAAATAGCCGTTATGGTCATTTGGACTGGGCCGGGTTCAGGCTGGCCAAATTTGTAACCATTTGACCCCCCGGACCGGGCCGTTGCTGGGCTTGGCTCGTTCCCCGCAAGTTCGGCCCGGATCTGGGCACCCCGGCCCGACCCCTTTGTTGGTCGGCCGGATGGGGCCGGGTCCAGTGCGGGTACCGGCGAAGCGGCTAGGACAGGGCCGCGAGCCTTAGAGCCTGGATATACCCAGATTTCTGGGCCATCCATAGTCCGGGCAAGGCTTGGGCCCGGACCGGGTCCAATCTAGGCATCAAGCCGGGCCCAGGCTTTGGCCAAATGGACAAGCCTACCGACGACACACGAATACTTTCTGAGGGGAAAAGATTGGAAAGTAACTACACTTGGTAGACGCATACATGACACATGATTGAGGAATTGCTAAGCACTTGAAGGGGGGGGGGGGGGGGGGGGGGTTATTGAACATGATTTTTTTTTCTTGTTTTTCAGAGACATTCTCTTCTAAAGTTTTAAAATACCATAAGTTGTAGAGGCCTTGGCCTTTCTTGGATTCTTAAAGATAGAATATGAAAACTTGTGACTAAAAAACGAGCTTCTTTTGGAGAAGGGTTCTAACTTAAAAACTCTAAATTTTTTACTATTTTTAACTTTGATATTCCAAAGTCTTTCTACTCATAAACTACCCCAAAGTTTCAAAATGTTTTTCTACCCTAAAATGAGGTACCAAAGTTAAAAAAATTTGGAACTTTGGGACATTTTTTTAGGCAAAGGAAAACTTTAAGGTATCAAAGTAACCAATGTTGATAAATTTGGGGTGCTTGAATGCAAATAACCCTTAAAATAATGTTAAAAGAGTGGATCTAACGAGAATTGCAAAGGGATTATTTTGCATTAGTACCCTACACCTTCAGCATTTTATATTAGCCCCTACATATTTGAAATTGATCTAACCCCCTCCAATCTTACTAGTATGTTTATTTTAATTTTTCTGTAATTTGTCAGTTATACCCTTCTCACGTAAACCCAACTCATTAACCACTTTACTTATGTTGTTAAGCTCATCAAACCTGTTTAATAAAATCTTAACCTAAACCCGTTCCCACTTCATCTTTGTCAACGTCTTCCCCAACGACTCCCTTTAGCACTGATCCTGAATTTGCAACATATATATTCTCGTCGGGGAAGACATTAGAAAGGACGAAGCGGAAAAATGAGTGTGAGTTAAGATTTTATTAAACGGATTTGGAGAACTTAACATGTACAAGTTAAAGTGGTTAATGAGTTTGAGTTTGTATGAGAGGGCTGTAACTGACAAAGCACCGAAAAAGTTAAAGTAAACAGAATATTCCTCTCATTTTAACTAGGGGGGCTTATTTTAGTATACAAATAGGATTTGGGAGTATGACATTAATTTCAAAGATTTGGAGCACTAATATTGAAATATTGAAGAATTTTTTTGGGTTTTCGGATGTTTTTTTTTTTTTTTTGGGGGGGGGGTTT